TGTACATGTAGAAATCCAACAAAAGGATTTATAGTAAAAAATAAGTCTCCTTCCCACTCCTGTTCCCCAGCACCCAGGTTCTTTTTCCAGAGGTACGCTCTGATACTCATTGTTAACAAAAAGAGCCAAACTCTGTAAAATATTTGAAAAGATTTATTCTGAGCCAAATATGAGTGACCACGGCCCGTGACACAGCACTCGGGAGGGCCTGAGAACATGTGCCCAAGGTGGTCAGGGCACAGCTTGGTTTTATACATTTAGGGAGATATGAGACTTCAATCAAATACAGTTAAGAAATACATTGGTTTGCTCCAGAAAGGCGGGACAATGCGAAGGTGGGGGCTTCTAGCTTATAGGTAGATTTTAAAGTTTTCTGGTTGACAGTTGGTTTGGTTTATCTAAAGACCTGGGATCAATAGAAAGGAAATGTTTAGGTTAAGATAAAGGATTGTGGTGACCAAGTTGTGTTGTTCAGAAGAAGCTCTCAGCAGACTTCAGAGACAGCAGGTTGTAAAATGTTTCTTATCCCACTTAAAAGGGTGCCTGGCTCTTAGTTGATTATCTCCTGGGTCTGGAAAGAAAGAGGAAAAAGGTGGCGGAAAGGGGATTCTCCATAGAATCTCTATAGATTCTCTATAGATTTTTCCCACAAGAGACAACCTTGCAGGGCATTTTCAAGATATGGCAAGAAAATATATTTGGGGTTTAAATATTTATATTTCCTTCCTTATTTGTTATGTGATATTATGCCAGAGCCAGGTTGGAAAGCAGATCACCTTATATGGGGGGGTTAAATAAAAACCCGTCTACACATTGCATGGTGGCTCATGCCAGTAATCCCAGCACTTTGGGATGCCGAGGCAGGTGGATCACTTGAGGTCAGGAGTTCCAGACCAGCCTGGCCAACATGGTGAAACCCTGTCTCTACTAAAAATACAAAAATTAGCCAGGTGTGGTAGTGCACACCTGTAATCCCAGTTACTTGGGAGGCTGAGGTCTGCTGGAACCCAGGAGGTAGAGGTTGTGGTAAGCCGAGATCACAGCACTGCACTCCAGCCTGGGCAACAGAGCGAGACTCCATCTCAAAAAACAAACAAACAAAAAACCCTCTGATGAGACTTTATGGTTTGTAGGGTATGACTCCCCCGGCCCCTTAGGTAGGAATTTGGGGAAGATAAAAAAGTCAGAGTTTAGATCTCCCTTTTCTTTCCCTACCCACCTAAGCCTCTTCTGTCCATTCTTTTCTTGTTTCCAGAATTTTGTTTTTTAACAAAAGGGATCCTGTTGCTCCTTAGTGTCCTTAGGACATGCAAAATGCAAACTCCTTAGGCCAGAATACAGGTGCTTTCTGATCAGGCCATGCAGACACCTCCAGCCTTATTGCCCCGAAAGTCAGGCCCAACAACTTTTTAGTGACATGAATCTGTGCTCTTATTTACCACTGTGTATTTTTATTTTTTTTTCCTGGCCTAGATATTTTTTATATTGTGATAAAATATATACAACATAAAATTTGCCATTTTAACCATTTTTAAGTATACAGTTCTGTGGCATTAAGTACGTTCACACTGTTGTACAACTATCACCACCATCCATCTTCAGAACTTCTTCCCCGACTAAAGCTCTGTACCCACTAACTTTCCATTCGCTTTTCTCCCCAATCCCTGACAACTACCATTCTACTTTCTGACTTTATTATCTCATTACTCCAGGTGCCTCATGTAAGTGGAATCATAAAATATTTGTCCTTTTGTGATTGACGTTACTAAGCATGAAATCCTCAAGGTTCACTCATGTCAGAATTTCCTTCTCTTTTAAGGCTAAATAATATTTCATTGTATGTATATCCTACCCACTGTATAGTTTTAAAAATAATTATTAATATACTTCATACACACACATTTTTGTTCTTTCTGTGTTTCCTATTCACCAATCTCATTCCCCCAGAGATAGTCACTGCTTACTAATTTCTTGCATTTCCTTCCAGATAAGTTTTATGCATATTATAATAAAATATAAATATATCCCGCCTTTTAATCCAAATGGTAACATGAAATTTATACTTTACTTATCTGCTTGTTTAAAATTTAGTAATATAGCCTGGAAACCTTTCTGTAGCAATACATACAGAGTTTTTAAAATTGTTTTTTGTAGCTGTGTATTCAACTGCACGGATATACTCCAATCCAGCAAAATTTTCTGTAAAGGGCCAAATAGAAAATATTTTAGGATTTGTGGGACAGCGAGTGTCTTGGGAAACTGCTTAGTTCTCTGTTAAGGTGCAAAAGAAGTCAGAGACCATGTGTAAACACAGGGGCATGGCTGTGTTCCAGTAAAACTTTATTTATAGACTCTGATTTTAGAATTTTATATAATGCATGTGTCATAAAATATAATTCTCTTTTGATTTTTTTGAACCATTTAAACATGTTAAAACTACTTTTCCCTTGAAAGTCCTACAGTAAAAGGCAGAAGGCCAGATTTGGGCCCCTGATGGTAGTTTGCCAACCTCTAATTTATTTAACCAGTTTAATTGTTAATAACCAGTTAGTAACCAGTTAACCATTTAAATTGTTTCTAATCGTTTGCTGCCATTTATAATCTTGTATATATGGCACTTCATATGCATGCAAATATATGTATCTGTGGAGTAAGCTCTAAAAAGTGAGATGGCTGGGTTAGATGATATATGCATTTGCTATTTTGGTAAATATTGCTACATCGCCCTCCTAGGGGCTGTACTAGTTGACATACCCACCAGCAATATATAGAAATGCCTATGTATTTTCAAATTTGGGTTTTTGCAAATCTGAGAGATTAAAAAAAAAAGGCATGTCAGTACTTTTAATTTGCATTTTTCTTATCATGAAGAGGTTGAACATCTTTTCATATGTTTAACAGTCATTTTTATTTATCTTCCTTGTTTTTCTATAAGCCACTTTTTCACAGGCTTTGCTCATATTTTTATTGGTCTTTTCTTTAGAGGTCTTTCTTTAGAGGTTTATGTATCCTTTCTTTAGAGGTTTATGTATCTTTATAATTTAAAGAAATTAGCCCTTTGTCTGCTGAGTTGCATGTATCCTTTACAGATTTGTGTTTGTTTTTGACTTTGCTTATATACAGGTTTGATTTTTGTTTTTTTCACATGCAAGAGCTTAAAAAGTTTTTTTCAACTTTTATTAGTTGACTTAATCAATTTCCTATTTTATAGTTCCTGGTTTGTGAGTCAGGATTAGGAAAGACTTTCTTACTCTAAGATTATGAAAGATTTATCCCAAATTTTCTCTTTGTACTTGTGTGGTTTTATTGTTTACCTTTAAATGTTTAATCCATGTGGAATTTATTCTTATATATGGTGTGAGGTATAGCTCCAACTTAATATTTTTCAAGATGGCTACCCAGGAATTTCAACACCATGTATTGGATTCTAACTGGATTTGAAATGCTCCCTTTATCATATGCTAAATTCCTGTATGTATTTATAGTCTTAAACTGTTCCATTGGTCTCTCTCTCTATTCATGTGCTAGTACTATGAAGTACTAATTGTCAAAGTACTATAATATGTTTTTATGTTTGTTGTTCTAGTCCAGGATTTCTCAACATCTTGGGTCAGATATAATTATTTGTTATGGGGGGTTATCTTGTGCACTGTAGGATGTTTAGCAGCATCCCTGACCTCTACCTCTATTAGACGCCAGTAGCAGACACTTGCACACACACGCTCATACATGCACACACAAACAACTGTGGATAGCAAACAAAAAGTCTCCAGTTCCTGCCAAATGTCCCCTGGGGGTCAAAATTACCCAGTTGGTCTAGTCATTCATCACTGTCCTTTTTCACAGCTTCCTGTTTGTTTACTTCAGCCTGTGTGTTTGCACATGTTGTTCCCTGTACCTGGAATGTCCTCCTCTTACTTTCTCATCAGAGATCAGCTCAGGCACTGTCTCCCAGGAAGCCTTCTCATGTCACCCTGTGTATTAGTTCGTTCTCATGCTGCTATAAGAACATACCCAAGAATGGGCAACTTATTAAAAAAAGAGAATTAATTGAATTGATTTACAGTTTAACATGGCTGGGGAGGCCTCAGGAAACTTACAGTCACGGCAGAAGGGGAAGCAGACATGGCCCTCTTCACATGGTGGCAGGAGAGAGAAGTACAACGTGAAAAAGGGAAAAGCCCCTTATAAAACCATCAGATCTCATGAGAACTCACTCAGTATCACAAGAACAGCATGGTGGAAACCATTTCCATGATTCAATTACCTCCCACCAGGTCCCTGCCATGACACATGGGGATTATGGGAACTACAATTCAAGATGAGATTTGGGTGGGGACACAAAGCCAACCATATCACCCTGCTCCATCTTGTGCCCTGCCCAACCCAGGTGCTAATCCCCCTCATCCTCTATGGAAATGAGCCCTTTGATTGTCTCTCACCCCTCACCAGGGGTCTCATTCATGTCTTTATCTCCAGCCTCTGGCTGAGCCTGGCACAGGGCAGGCGCTCTGGCAGTATTCTTGGATGAAATGATGAATAAATACTTCTTTGACACATCTCCCACTAATAGCCAGATGTTCAGTCAAAGAAGACATGGGTAAAGGATGAGATGTTAACTCTTGTCCAGAGTGAAGCCTGGTGCCGAGAAGCAACAAGAAGTGGGGAGAGTCTAGCATGTGTTGAGTGCCTACTATGTGCTAAGCATGGTAGTAGATGAGATGTCCTCAATCTCCTGTTCCAAATCTCTGCTGTCCACAGCTATCAGGATGCACTCAGATGCTTAGAAGCAGGAAAACAAGGAGAGCTGGGGAGTACCAAAGGGCCTCTGTAGCTTCCTGGGAAAGCAGGATAAACAGTGCTGAGAGCATGAGCCCTACAGTCGGACAGCTTAGGTCAGATCCCTACTCTATCTACTTACCAGGTATTTAACCTCCTTAAGTCTCAGTTTCTTCATTAGTAAAAAGGGGATAATAAGAGTACCCACCTTGGAAGGCTTCTGTAAGAACCTAAAGCATTAATATTCTACTGAGACATAGTAAACATTCAACATATGGCAGGCTCTTAATGTTATTTCCTCTTCTATCCGCAAACTGCCTGAGGTTTTTTTCTAGCTGAGCGTTGGTTTAAAAGTCCCTGAGACTATGGTAGACCCAGGGTGGGATTGTTTTTCCAGGGCTCCTTGCAAGGAACTAGGAGAACTCCGGCAGAAGCATCCTCCAGGAGCAGCAGGGCCTCCTCTGGTGGGTTGTTTGTGATCAGACAGGTCCTCCCAGTTCCCTCCACCCTGAGAGCATTGGAGAGAAAAGAGCAAAATGAAGTGATCACCCTGAGGTACAGGCCATACTGAACACTGTGAAACAATGATGGGGTTTGGGGTCCTCCTTGGCACTGACTGAATTTTTTCTAAGCCCATGGGCTTAGGGGCCAGAAAAGCACCAGGTACTATGTTCACTACAACCCCTTCAGGGGTGTCTCTGCCCCAAGCCTTCACCTGCCCCATACAATCTGCGCTTGATGGCCCAGAGCAGCCTTCCTCTGACTGTTCTCATCAAGTGGCTATAACCACAGTGCTCACCTGAGGCACGCTGGGGGAAATTCAAGCGTCTCCTGCCCTTTTTCTAAAATACTCATAACCACCAAACACTATTTTTTCCACCATGTCTTGTGGAAGGGGGTGTTACTGAGTATTAAGCAAAAAACTTTATTTTTGTATATTCAGACTTATGGAATAAGTTTAGGAAATACTGAGTTAAAAGGGTTAAAGTGTTGGTTTTTCAACTGCAGGACTTCTCAGACTCTTTGAGATGCTGATGTACACAAGGGGTATGGGCTGCATTTTTCTACCTGCTAAGTTGACATAGAACCCTAGATAGAGCATCTTACAAGACGAGTGGTCCGTGGAACCCAACTTAGAAAACACTGCCCCAAAGAAGTCTCCTGAGAAAAATGTATTGCTGTTGATCTTTCAGCCTTTGTCACTGCTGTCCTTCCCCTAAAGGGCTTGCCTTCAGCCTCTCTACCCATCCTGGTTCCCCCAGTGCTTTGGATCCAGGACAGACACACTCTGCTCCTAGTAAGCATTTCATAGTCAGCCCCATCCCAGACCTCTCCTTATCATTCATTCATTCATCACATATTTTTTGAGCACTTACTTTCTTCCAGGCACTGTGCTAGGAGATATAGTGGCAACCAAGGAACATCCCAGTAGGAAACAGACAGGTAAGTAGATGGGTTTAGTAGAGTGTGAGAAGTACAACACAAATACCCAAGGACAGTTCCAGATTGAGTCTTGGACAGTCGGAAAGGAGAAATAAAGGGCATCTTTTCTTTCATTTCCACACTTAGCAATTTTTCTGTATTGGTTTGTCATTTATTCATTTAATCACCAAGCATTTATTGTGGGCTGGGCACTGTGCAGAGATAGTAATCAGACTTGACTTGGGGATGATAAGAAATCACTGAAGGGATTTTAAGTAGAGAAAAGACATGATCTATTTACATTGATAGATGTCACTTGGATTGTAGGAAAAGTGGACTGGCCGGGGCAAGGCTTGAGGCAGGAAGCCAGCTGGGAGACCACTGCATGAACCCAGATGAAAATGAGGACCTGGGCTAGGGAAGTAGCAGGAAAAGTGGATTTTGACAGATATCTAGGACAGAGTCAACAGGAATTGGACAGCAATGGGATGTGGGAGAGTGAGAGGGAAGAGTTTAGGATGATGTCCTTTCCCCCATCCTCCTTACGTCCCAACCCCACTCCTGTTTCTGGTGAAATATTCAAACAGGAGTGGGGGTGGGACATAAGGAGGATAGGGGACACAGGAGGAAGGGCAGGTTATAGGGGTCGGCATACAAGGGGAAGATAATGTGTTCAATTTTAGACATGCTGAGCTCGTGATTCCAATTCCTTTGGACATTCCAGTGGAGATACCTGGCAGGCTGATTTTTCTCAAGAGAGAAATCATGTCTGGAAATACAGATCTGAGAAGCAGCAGCAACGGATGGGTGGCCACCAAAGCCGTGGACTCAGTCAGCACCATTAAGCCAGAGTGGTGGGCAAGATAGGTGACAAGGACCCCCCTGCATCAGGTGGGTGACAAAAGAAGAATTAGTGTTGCAGCATGGGAAGGACTGCCCAGAGAGAAAGGCACTGAACCAGGAGAGGATCTAGAAAAAGGACACTTGGCAATGAGAGCTTGGAGCGGGCCTCTACACCAGGGGAGGGGTGGCTTTGACTGGCAGATACACCTGTCTAGTCCAGGTGGAGGGTATGAAAACTGGAGGGAAAGAGAGGGGCAGCAGGACGTCCCTCTTTTTCTAAAACAGGCTTTCTCTTAGGCTTAGCCTTCTAACTGATCTGCCCCACTATCCTCAACCCACTCTCCACTTCATAGCCAGATAAGTCTTTTCAAAACACATCTCTGATCATGTCACCTCCTCTCCTCCAGCTCTATTAAAAACCTTTTGATATTTCTATGGCTCTTAGCCTGTGGACCAAACTCCTACCTGACCTGGACTCTACTTCCTTCTCCAGGTGCACCTTGTGCCAGACTCTCTTGCAGCCACCTGGCGTCCATTCGGCCTCACAAACTCATTGCATGGGTCTTGCATTGTTGCTCTCAGAGCGATGTCCACCCTTTCCCCCCCGCCCCCGCCCCAATCTGCTCTGTGTCACTGGAGGCTGTTCCAGGCTCCAGAGCTAACTGCCTTCCAGTGAAGTTCAGCCAGTGGGGAGCGGGGGAGGGCAAAAGATATTGGCAGTGAAAGGAAAAGAGAAGCCAGAGTATTTCTCCTCCTGCTTCTCTTCCTCAGGAGTCTCTTCTGTGGCTGCAGTTCCCACTACACAACCATCTCTCTGTGATCCCTGCTACCCATCTTGGTTCCAGCTTATCTTGTCTTAAGCTCCAGAAACTGTTTCTTTCCTTGTTTTCCAGCTTCCAGGGTGGTGCTATGGTTTGAATTGTGTCTCCCCTGCAAGTTCATGTGTTGAAGTTCTAACCCCCAGTACTTTACAGTGTGACCTTATTTAGGGTGGTGGTCTTTATAGAGGTAGCCAAATTAAAGCAAGATCATTAGGGTGGACCCTAATCCAATATGAATGGTGTCCTTATAAAAAGGGGAAGTTTGGACAGAGATAGACACACATAGAGGGAAGACGATGTGAAGAGACATAGGTGAAAATGGTCATCTACAAGTCAAGGAAAGAGGCCTGGAACAGATCCTTCCCTCACTGACCTCAAAAGGAACTACCCCTGCTGACGCCTTCATTTTGGACTTCCAGCCTTCAGAACTCTGAGACAATAACTTTCTGCATGAAGCCACCCAGTCTGTGGCACTTTGTTACTGCAGCCCTAGCAGACAAATACAGTAGTCCCAGCTTCCTGGAGTTGCTACTCTCAGGGTTCCCCTGGGAGCTCTTTCAACTCCTCTGACTCCCCGTATGAAATTCCCTCTATCAAATCACCTAGAGTAAGTTTTGCTTTCCTGGCTGGGTCCTGACTAATATGCCTACCATGATCCTTTCTGCCACAGAGGACATAGTGTTTCCTCTGCCTGGTATTTTCCCCCCTCTCATCTTTACCTAATGAACTTTACCTAGCGAACTCATCTAGGTCATGGGTAAATGTCACTTCCTCAAGAAGGCCTACCCCTGAATAGTTATTACCAGCTCTTATGGCTCCAAGCACCACCACTCACACTGTTTTGATTTTATATCTGCGTGCGATTATTAGTTAATGTTTTCTCCCCAGTCCTTGAGGAAATGTGGTCTTTTTTTTACTTACCACTTATCCCCAGAGCCTAGCATGATGCCTATAGTAAATATTTAATACACAGTCATGTGTCACTTAACAACGGGAATACATACTGAAGAATGTGTTGTTAGGCAGTTTTGTTATGAGAACATCAGAGTATACTTACACAAACCTACATGGTGTAGCCTACTACACACCTAGACTATCTGGTCTAGCCTACGGTTCCTAGGCTACAAACACCTACAGTATGTTACTGTACTGAATACTGTGGGCAATTGTAACATAATAGTATTTGTGCATCTAAGCACATCTAAACATGGAAAAGATACATAAAAATATGATACTATAATCTTATGAAATCACCAGTGTATATGTGGTTCCTTATTCACTGAAACATTGTTATGTGGCTCCTGACTATATATGTATTGAGTGAACAGAGGACGAGTAGTATAATTTTGTCGATAATGCTAGTATTTATGTGCCAGTAAAGTTCTAAGCATCTTACAAATATTATATTTGATCCTTTAATACTCATAACAATTTATGGAATAAGCAATATTACCTCTATTTTACACATGAGTAAATTCACTTATGATCTCATAGCTAGTAATAATTTGAACCCAGGGACTCCAGCACCAAAGCCTGAACTCTTAATCACTTTGTATTCTGGCCTGTGCTGTTCTCCCATGTTTTAGCAGGTCCACAAATTTTGTTTGGTTCTAGCTTGCCATTATATCATGCCTTGTACCTCTTATTTGCAATGAATTGTATTTAACTTGACATGATATTACAAAACTTCCTGGACAGAATGTTTTATATGCCAAATAGCACCCCAATAATATGCACCTTGAGTTTTAGCAAAAATTTGGTGACAAACCTATGAATACATAGTCCCAGGATGGTGAGGTTCCTGGGTACCTCACCATCTTTTGTGGTTCTGTGAACTCTTCCCACCTCTCTATAAATCATTCCCTCATTAAAATCCCTTCAGCTAAACCCTTTGGGTATGCCGTCTTCCTTCTGGGACTCTGGTTGATACCCTGGAGCTTCCTGGGGGCTTACCCTGGCTTTCTTATGTGTTTATGGCACATGACGTTACCATGTGACTGCAGTAGCCTGAGCTGCCTCTCCTGTGTCCGGCAGCTATTGACACCACTTTATGTGTGGAGAACGCCCTGTGTGCTCAGAATACCCCAGGTACTATGGGGAGATGCCCTGGACCAAGACTCTTCATATTTCGTGAGCATTACCGCTCAGAGGAAATCAATTTACACTGGCTTATTTGTGGTTTAAGAATGATCTGGTTGGGCGTGGTGGCTCATGCCTGTAATCCCAGCACTTTGGGAGGCTAAGGTGGGTGGATCATTTGAGGTCAGGAGTTCGAGACCAGCCTGGCCAACATGGTGAAACCCCCACCTCTACTTAAAAAAAAAATACAAAAATTAAAAACTTAGCCAGGTGTGGTGGCAGGTGCCTAGAGTCCTAGCTACTTGGGAGGCTGAGGCAGGAGAATCACTTGAACTCTGGAGGCAAAGGTTGTAGTAAGCCAAGATCGCGCCATTGCACTCCAACTTGGGTGACAGAGGGAGACCCTATTTAAAACAAAATAAAAAGAATGATCCTATATCTTCTTCAGGTTTCAGACAAAATAGCAGTTTCTCGAGGGCACAGCCAGCCCATGTCCTGTTGTAGTGCATATGGAAGACCACGGAGGCCATAGCTTTTCCTCGCTCAGCTCACTTGCCCATCTTCCTTCACATGTTAACAGCTGCCCACTGTTCCGGTGAGGGACTTTTCCTGCTCTATTCCATGTGGTGGAGTGAGGCACAGTGGCGTTCCTCTTGGCTATTGAGATTGGGTCAGGGATGTGACCTGCCAGATGTAACAGGATGACTTTTCCTCATGAGGTCAACCTGCTGGGAAGATGGGAGTCGGGATAACCATCTCGTCTGTTGGAAGCATGAAGTCGAGGCATGCAAAGTCAATAAACTGAGGAGATAGAACCTAGCAGCATCATTCAAGACCTGGATCCTGCCATCCCTGGAGCCAGTGAATACCCTGTATTCCACAATCATGCAACCCAGTAAAGTCCTCTTTTGTAGCTGTAGCATGTTTGAGGTTGGTTCCTTCACTCATATCCAGAACATTCCCACTGATAGAGTTGTGGAAACTTCTTGCTATCTTCAGTGCACCTTGTAGTCTCTCTTCTACAGCTTTGTTTATACCAGCTGTGTTTTAAGCTCACTCCCTTATTATACATTGTCTTGTTCAATCACCTGTATCACAACATTTAATATCTGGGTTGATTTTTTAGCCTGTTGTCTCTCAGCCCCACACTCATCCCTCTGACTCTGGGCTGTAAGGCTGAAAACTACATTTCCCAGGCTCTCTTGCCAGCTGGCTTCCAGTAAGAGGCTCTGGTAGAGAAATGGAAAAGGAAGAGAAGCCACTGTTCTCTTTCCCCGTCTCTGCTTTGGGGGCACCTCTGAACATTTCTGAAACCCCTTGATGACCCCAGCTTCAGCCAAAGCAGCCTCTGCTCAATGGTCACAGCTCTAGCCTGGGTGGTCCCTCTTCAGTGGTTCCAGCACCGTCAGCAGTTGTAACAGCACCTCAAACAAAGCAACAGCATGTACACTTGAACTCCAACACCACCTTTCCCAACTACCATTTTCCTGTCATTATTATTCTCTGGTTACCTTACTTTACATTTTTGTTCTTTCAGCCCTTTTAACACTTTTGTAACTAATTTCCTGTATGAAACACTCTATTTAAAACATCTACCATGATTCCTGTTTGCCTGACTGGAACCTTGATTGATACAGTACATATTGTACATTACCTAACTCACTAGTAATTTCAGATGTGAAGAAAGTTTCTTCCCAACAAGATGATGAGTTTCTATTGGGCAGACTCCATATGTGTCTGTCACAGTGTAGGACTGAACATATAATGTGAATCTGTACATATTTAATGATATAAGATAACCCTTGTCTCAGTGACATCTATAAGCTTGATGGTACACGAATATAGAAACATTCTCAAAGCGATATTGAAGCCATATTCAAATTAACACAATTGAGGCTACTCATTCCAACTTGGGAACATATGGAATGACAGTGTCCTTTAATGATACTGACCCAGGCATGCATTGAGGAAGAGGAAGAGTCTCAGGCTAGAATGGATGTGAGACATTTCCTTATCACTTCTCTGATTCTGGTAGAATGATGAGGTAAACCTGTAAAGAAAATCAAGGTGGAATAAGCTGGAGTTGGCTCTACATCAGACAAATGCATTCATTCATTCAGCAGATTTTCACGGAGGGCCTACAATGTGCAGACATATCATCCAACAACTCTACCACCTGCTGTCATTCAGTATTTTAGTCAAGTGATGGTTTTTTGTGTGTTTTTTCTAATGTGTGCACTGGACAATGACTCATGCCTAAAATCTGCATTTGTTCATATTTCCAATCTTCAAATACCTGAGAAGTACAGTTGTATATATCACTTACAATTTCTTGGCCAGTCTTTCAAGGTAAACTGCAAGCCAGTCTCCTGTAGATATCTTTCCTTTTTCTATTGTCTGACTGTGAAGGATTTAGATTGCCTGAGTCCCACCCCTTCCATATCGCCTTCGAAGAACTGGACCTTGATGGCAGCCATGAGCATGGCTTTAGACATGCTGGTGCAAGGATCTATGTGACCTCTAATCTCAAAAAAGTCCTTGCTCAGACCCAGAAAGTGCTTCTCTACAATATAGGAGAGGGATTGCCTCCAGGTTGCATGGGGGCAGCTGCCAACATGAATGGCTTTGTTCTCAGCCTGTAGAGCTTAACGGTATTTATTTATATG